CCAAAACATAAATCATTGCCAGGGCTTTTGAATAGGTACAGAAGTATCAAAAAAGACAGGGGAACAGTCACATGAACACAGGACTTCTTGCAGTAGCCCAAGAATGCTTTGATGGGGAGACTTGGTTCACAGAAACAGCTGCAAAGAATGGGTTCCTCAGAGAACACTTTTATTTATTTATTATTCATAAAAATATTTATAAACCACTGTCTCATTTGGGTGGAGGAAGCATGATGGTGTACAACAAACCATTAACATTGTTTTCAGCAGTGATGAAATATCAAAAGTGTAGTACTTGTCTGATTTTAGTAGGAAAGGTTTCATGGCATGCTTGGTGCTTCTTCTGTTTAAGTCATTATGAAAAATTATCTTTTTTTTAAGGGTTTATTCCTTCTAATGCACACATTTTTGCAAAACAATTTTCCCCAATAAAATGTCATTTTGTATGTTATTTTCACTAATATATGCATGTGATGCAGACTTTACCTTCATATATATGCATTTTTAATAAACATTTCTTGCCTTCTCCTTGGCTGCAGAAGGTGCTTCGGAAAAATGAGAGAAGTGTGAGGTTTGAAGGACAGCTGTGTTTCAGTTTGTTTTTCAGAAATTAAGAATTGGCCAGGCTCAACTTTACAGTGGTACCTCAGGTTAATAACTTACCGTATTTTTCGCTCTATAGGACGCACCAGACCACAAGACGCACCTAGTTTTTAGAGGGGGAAATCAAGAAAAAAAATATTATTCTCCCCCCCCCAGCCCCAAAGAGTTTCTCTGGGCAGTGGGGGAAGCCCAGGTTCCCCCCCCCCCCAGCCCCAAAGAGCAAAGAAGCCAAGACAGCGAGCAGGATCCATCCCGCTGGCTGTCTTGGCTTCTGCCATAGCCACACAACCTCTCCAGCCGGGAGCTAAACCTCTCCAGCGTGGCTAAAGAAGCGTGGCTAAAGAAGCCAAGGCAGCAAGTGCGATCCATCCTGCTTGCTACCTTGGCTTCCTCTTTAGCCTTGCGCAGCCTCTCCAGCCAGGGGAGGTTGCGCAAGGCTAAAGAGGAAGCCAAGGCAGTGAGCGGGATGGATTGCGCTCGCTGCCTTGGCTTCTTTAGCCTTGCGCAGCCTCGCCCGGCTAGAGAGGCTGCGCGCGGCTATGGCAATTCCCCCACCTCCTGCAAAAGCCCACAGAAGCTGCACACCCTTTAAGGAGCGCACAGCTCCTGCGGGCTTTTCTACGAGAAGGGAGAAGGGACTGACTGGCCACGTCAGTCCCTTCTTCCTCCTGGGGAAAAGCCCACAAGAGCCGCACGAAGCTTGTGTGCAGCTCTTGGGGGCTTTTCCTGCCTGCCTCCCCCCTGCATTCACTCCATAGGACACACAGACTTTCCCCCTTAGTTTTTAGGAGGGGAAAAGTGCGTCCTATGGAGCGAAAAATACGGTAATTCGTTCTGGAGGTCCATTCTTAACCTGAAAGTGTTCTTAACCTGAGGTACCACTTTTGCTAGTGGGGCCTCCTCCTGCTGCCACCACGTGATTTCTGTTCTCATCCTGAAGCAAAGTTCTTAACCCGAGGTACTATTTCTGGGTTAGCGGAGTCTGTAACCTGAAGCATCTGTAATCCGAGGTACCACTGTAAATGTGAACTGAATTGAATTTCTCCCTCCATTCCTACCCAGGAACATATGAACCAGCAGCCACCACTGCATCTTGTGGTCTACAAGGAGCTGAGATACTGAAAGGACACAGGGTCCAGACCCATAACAAAAATATGCATAACATTTGCATGCACTTTATTTATAGATGCCAAGCACTACTGTGTTTTGCTGAGTCCTCGGTTGCCCTGCAAGCAAGGGAAAGGTGCAAGGCTGGAGCCTAGCAGCCCTGTGGTGGTTGCCATGTATTAATTACATACGTGCAATTTAATTCTCAGCAGACTTAAGACAGTAGCCTAGTTTTTGTTTAAGAGAAGAGGCAAGCTGTCTCATGAACTGAGAATATTTTCTTGTCCTCTACAAGTATGTAATATTGAAAACGGTAGAGCTTGCATCAAACCTAAGTTGATCACACAGTCAAGGAGAATTACTCTGAGATCTGAGCACACCAGGAGGGATCGTTGTACATTGAATTTCTCAGTGTAATATGGTATAAATCTTCGTGAGAGGCTCAACTTTTATTGGACGCACAAAAGGTGCTCTTTCCCCCCTTATTAAATGCAAGAGATGCTCCCAAGGGATGCCTAGCTTTCTAAAACATCTCTATCAATTTTTTCCTCCCTGTCTACAAGCTCCAGAAGGCTGATGGGTACAGTCTGGTAAATCACTCCCTCTTGCTTATCAAATGTAAAATAAATTACTTGTTTCCTGGTCTGAAATTTGCAGAGTCCCTCTCTCTAGCAATGAATACATTTTCATTTGCTTAGTTACGGTGTGTTAGCTTCTAAGATCATTCCAGAAGAAAGTAAATCTTCTAATAGGCAATAGAACAAAGTTTGCTTTGTTCAGTTGGGTTCTTCAGACTCAGGGGTGGCCCGTCCTGTTTCGCCACCTGAGGTGAAATGAGAGACGTGCCCCCCAGCCACTGCACCCTGCCTGCCCCACCACTTCCGCTGCCAACAAGCAAGATCAGGACTGAGGGTGTTCTGGTGCTGGCAGGGCAGGTAGGGTGCTGTCTCTTGTGCTTCTGCCGCCTGAGGTATCTTCATCACCCCACCTCATGGGTGGGCCAGCGTTGTCCAGAGTGGTCATGTAAATGGGGTCTTTAATAGGGCTGAATGTCAGCCTAGGGCAGGGATCAGCAACCTTTTTCAGCTGTGGGCCGGTCCACCGTCCCCCAGACCATGTGGTGGGCCGGACTATATTTTGGGGAAAAAATAATGAATGAATTTCTATGCCCCACAAATAACCCAGAGATGCATTTTAAATAAAGGGACACATTCTACTAATGTAAAAACATGCTGATTCCCAGACTGTCCACAGGCCGGATGTAGAAGGCGGCTGGGCTGCATCTGGCCCACAGGCCTTAGGTTGCCTACCCCTGGCTTAGGGTTGCCATTTGTACATTGCCAAAAAGAGAGGAAATTCCTCACCAAAAGAAGAGAGGAAAGGACATCGAATTACATGTGCTGATTTAAATGCATTGGCTCACATTTAATTTAAATATAAGTATATCTTATCCTAGGGGGATAGGATACTGTGACCAGGTGTCCTGCCTGCTTAGTCTGCTGTCCGGGTACCAATGGTGGATGGGAAATGTCCGGGGTCCTGATCTCTCTTCTTAGTGTTCTTCCACAAAGCAAAAGCTTGAAGTCTGTGATTCTTCCAGCAACTTTAATTATATATGGCCTACGTGCTGCCCAAATCCCCCCTCCCCACCTTGATTTTGTAACTTAGGACAGCAGCCTGGAGAAAGGTGACAGGTAAAATCTATAACCATGTTTGCCACTCCAATAAATTATCTTGCGTATGCCACTGTGGGTAAACAACTTGGGATGAAACCAGAAGTTCCACCTGGTTTGAAGCCACCTATTTTTTATAAGCCAGACATTGCCAGAATAACAAAGCTGGAAAATGTATAATGAACACACACAAATCTGTCTTCCCCTTGGAACACCTTGTCTTCGCTATATCTCAGCAATGTCATCTGCCCCTTTCAGGCTGAGCTGCTGAACCAGGACATACTATTTGTTCTATGCTGAGGAACCCTCTCTTGGTCTTTCATAAGGCTCAAGCCATCCTTAAGTGTGCCTGCTGTCCAGTGACCAACAACTTGCCCTCCTCTTACACCCACACACCCACACACACCTCTTTGAAGTGTATTAATAGCAGCACAATAACAAAACAATTCACACTGGGCATGAAATATTGCCACATATTCCACATATCCAAGGATATGGAAGAGTAGCTGGGGTAGTGGGACTGTGTCTGCAGGGCCCACCCTTATCCACCTGTTCACCCAAAACTGTATGCCAGAGGTGGCTGGACTACAACTCCCATCATCCCTGACCTTTGGCTATGCTAGTTAGGGCAGATGGGAGCTGGAGTCCAACAACATCTGGAGGGCAACAGGTTTCCCATCTCTGCTGTAAGCAGAGTTACACAAACTATACATGTCTCAGGTCTCCATGCAGTAATCCAAGGACAGACAATATGGCATCCTTTCATTGTTTCGGATTCCAGTCTTCATCAGTGACAGCCACTACCACCAGTTTTAGTGTACAACATTTGGAGGGTGCCACATTGACTACACCCCACTGGCACCCCACTGGGATCGTGCTGCCAGGGGCAGTGCGCTCCCCCCTCCCCCTCTTCGTCTGCCAGTAACTGTGAGAACAGGGGCTGGACTAGATGAGCCATTGGCCTGGTCCATCAGGGCTCTACTCTCTCTTAAGAAACAGAGTAACTAGCAGCCCAAGGTCACTTACAGCACAATTCAAATCCAGCATCCACCAGGGTGAGGGAGCTTTGACAGATCTTCAGCTTTCCCAGTTGAGCATAAGTCCCTTACCATGGCTCAGCCAGCTCAGCTGGGTCTCAGGCAGTGGAACTTAATCCAGCATTCTGGGACTGTGGCAGAGACAGCACAGGACAAGGAAAGACTTTCACCTCTTCCAAACCCCTTTTGGCTTGGTCACATGACACAGCAGTCAGCCTCCTCTGTTGGTGTTATTTGGGGAAAATGGGTGAAATTGTACTAAGTGCTTGGTCCATGTCTTGAGCAGCTCACTCCCATGTCTGAATTCTGTTTGTGTAAGGCCAAAAATTGGTACCCCCAAATGGATCTTTTCAGTTATGGATCTTCTCAATTGTGCACCCCCTGAGCTTGGTGCCCTGTGCAACAGAACTGCCCACACTGCCCACTGTATTAACTTAAAAACAAACAATAAGCAGTAAAAGACTACAACAATCATGATGCCATGTCACCAGACAGCTTACAATTAATTGCACAACGTACAATCTCACAATAAATTTAAAGAGGAAAAGTGGGGAGGGGAGTAAGAAGAAAAACCAACCATTGAGAAGAGCTGTAGCTCAGTGATAGACCATCTGCTTTGCATGTAGAAGGTCCCAGGTTCATTCCTTGGTGTCTCATTAGCATCAGCTGGAACGCCTGAGAACTGGGTGGAAGGCATGTTCACATCTTTGCTCCCCAGCCCCTCTTCTGTCTGCCATCAGGGCTGTGGGAGACCTTACGTCAAAGAACAAGCCAGCAGTAAATCACACCATTTGAAGTTGGAGTTAACTCTTTATTTGTAAAACCATGATCTTCACAGACTTGGCTCAGTGTCAACACAGCAGCTCTTTCCCTATAGGTCTTACTCCATGAAACCAGTTGCTGAGACTAAAGGTCCCCACCTTCCCACAGCCATCTGTGCCTCCTCCTCCCCAGGGCTTTTCCTAAGCAATCAGAGACTGTGCCTGCATGTAGCCTGTCTTTGCTCTACCCATTTCATGCCTCTCCTGGTTCTGGAAGTCAGGTGGGGGGAGGGGAGCTTGTCACAGCAGGAGGGGGAGACACCCTTAACTCTTTACTAGCCTGTCTCGTCTCTGCCTCTTGGCCTCCCTATCCCACTCTCCTGCTTCAGCTTCTGACTCTGATTCTGGACTTATCTCTGCCACAGACTCTCCCAGCTCCCTAAGACTTGTTAGCTCTCATCAACTCTTCCTAGTCTTTACCCTGTGACCACTCATCATTATCCCCCCACCACTCTCCAGGGTCTGAGTCTTCTTCCCTTGGTGGTTTCCACAGCTGGTTCCTCCCACCATTTCTCTGCATCCAGTCAGTCCATGATACCTTAACAGCAGCCACCCAATGAGGAAGCTGGGTGTGGCAATATCTGGAGAAAGTCCTGCATGACCAGAGAGACCTGAAGGGACTCATTTGGGCCCCTGGGCCTGAGGTTCTGTATCCCTCATCTGTGTATCCCTTGTAATGAAAGAGGAATGCATCCAAGTTCTGTTTTGTTTGCATATGTACTAAAACCCATTCAAACATCACAAAACCCCTCTGTCGCTGATATTTTCCACTTGATGTTGTAAGCTTCTTTTTGTTAACCTTTGTGGGATGTAAAGCTGCAGTCAAGTGCAACATTCCGACAGAGGACTAACGGCCTCCATGTTCTTACTGGTTGCTGTGACAACCAGTTTGTCGGTTGCTGGTAGTTTTGAAAGATAACTGCTCAGTTGCAGTCACCTCAGGACCGACTTCCCTCTGGTATAGTTTATTTGCTTATTATGTAACCTAAGCCTGCCTTCAGGTACAGTTCTGTAAACCTGAATGAATCTGAGAGTAAAATAGTTTTATATTAACATGAATCAGATTTGTGTGTGTATTCTTTAAGAGGGATTCAAAGGGATTTTTAACCAGGAAGGCATCTTTATTAGTAGAACTCAGACGAGTCAGCAACAAGCTGATGGCTGCATAAACTTATAAAGGGGATTGTTTAACTCTGCTAAAGTAAACCTTCCCACAACCTTGAGTTTCAGGTACATATGCGTAAGTCTGGAAGTGGTGAGGAATTAATATGCAATACTTTTCTCACTTCAAAATGTAAGTCATCCTTGCTGAATTTGGACCCCTTTTGCTCATTTTACTGAATGAGACCTCTGAACTCCTGCCCCAAAGTTCCACCCTGATGGTGACGCTGAATGAAGATCGACAGTTTGTTCTCCATCACCCATGGGGCAGGGCTCGAACTGAAGGGAGGGAGGGAGGGTTGTTACACATTTGTCCCCCCCCCCCCAGCACTTTCTGCATCTGCCACCAGGGCCTGGGGCTATGAGAGGCAGCAGCAGAGCCACCCAGTAAGGAAGTCTTCATGACCTGTGTGGGAGGAATTGCTTCAGTGGTCAGCCCTAGGCATTTGTTGGAACATAAGGGAACAAGGAGGAAAAACTTATACAGTGGTAGCTTGGTTTCTGAAAGTCTTGGAAGTCGAATGTTTCGGTTTTCAAATGCCGAAAACCCGGAAGTAAGTGCTTCCGTTTTTGAACATGCCTTGGAAGTTGAATGGTTTCCGCTGCGTGTTTCTCAGTTTTCTCAATTAAATTTGCAGGCTGCCCTTTGCGCCTGTTTTAGGATGTTTCGGAAGTCGAATGGTCTTCCAGAATGGATTACGTTCGAAAACCGAGGTACCACTGTCCAAACCTTTGTCCTGCTTGAGTGACTATTGTATCATTGTCTGTTTTACTCTGCTTTGAATATTGCAAGCTGCCTCAAAAACTTCCAGTTTGTAGGAGGGGTAGAAATACTCCTCAATCAATCAATCAATCAATCTCCAAGCAGAGCTGAGAGAGCTGCTTTCAGTCAGTGTAGACAGCACTGAGCTAGCTGGACCAATGATCTGACCCTGTGTAAGGCATCCTCCAATGTCCCTGTGATAAAATAAGGCCTTATGTTGCAATCACAAATTTGTCTCTGATACAGAACATACCTATGGCCTCCCCCAACTTCAGAACAGTTGCTTTTTTCCCTCATGAGTTAATCACCTGAAACTTATGATTAACCAGCTTTCAGATTTCTTTAATCAGGTGAAGCTCCAATAAAATGTTTCTTTCGCAAGCCTATGCCACGGGTTTGTATTAATAGCTTGAGGTGCCGTCAGCGCCTGGATTAAGTGAAATTATGTCCAACTTAAAATTGATCAGGGTGGAAGCTACGAGTGGATTTATCTTTCCTATTGTCCTCCTGATCTTTCAAGCAGCAGTTGAAGGGCCTGGATAACTCTCCCTTGATTCCACACAAGCCTCTGTAAAACCATGTATTAATTTATAGGACTCTTTCCCCCTCTCCGTTCCCTTCACAATATGATTCAAGCCCATGGGCCCTTCCCTTTTAATATAGTGAGCAAAAAGAAACGGTAAAAGCTTCTTCCCCCACTGCCCATGCACGTTCTGGAAACATATGACAATGACATATCCAGTAAATACTCTTCAATGTTTGCCATGTTATTTACAAGCTGTCATCATGGTCACAGGAGGGTTAAATAAATAAAACAAAGAAGAAACAAACAGGGCCCTCAAATCACTGCAGTGTCCGTGATCTGGCTGATACCAATTAGATTACAAGAGGCCAAGGTATGGTTAGCCAGCTCAATGAAAATAAGAAGAGCCTTCAGACCACCTAGACCAGCATCTTTTTCTCTCAGTAGGCTTTGGGAAGCTTGCAAGCAGGAAATGAGCACAACAGCATTAGGGCTGGGCAATATATCACCCAAAACCAGTTTGAAGTCCATATTGTGATATTGGTTGCGTAATTTTTGACTTGGCAATATAACGCGAATCATATGTGCATTAGGGCTTGGCAATATATTGTCCAAAATCAGTTTGAAGTTCATATCATGATATCAGTTTCATGATTTTTGACCTGGCAAAATATCGTGAATCGTGGTGTGTTTGTGCTTTGCAAAAAATTATGATGCGGGACATAATTTTTATTTTTAAATTATGATGCAGGACCCCCTTCATGGATCACTGCCTTGCCGTGGCGAAGGGGCTTGAATAACTCAGAGAAGCTATGAGCTATGCCGTGCAGGGCCACACAAGATGGACAGGTCATAGTGGAGAGTTTTGACCAAACGTGATCCACCTGGAGCAGGAACCGGCAAGCCACTCCAGTATCCCTGCCAAGAAAACTCCATGGACAAAGACAACAGGCATATTGCCAACAAAGGTCCGTATAGTTAAAGCCATGGTTTTCCCAGTAGTGATGTATGGAAGTGAGAGCTGGACCATAAAGAAGGCTGATCGCCGAAGAATTGATGCTTTTGAATTATGGTGCTGGAGGAGACTCTTGAGAGTCCCATGGACTGCAAGAAGATCAAACCTATCATGATATATTAGTATGATGTTTAGCTGGTGATATATCATGAAGTTGAAAACCAGATGTCTCCCAACCCTAAACAGCACATTCCTCACCTGTGATTCCCAGCAACTGTTATTTAGAGTTAATACTGCCTCTGGTCCTAATAGGCTATCCTTGATAACCTTACCCACCCCAGATTTGTCAGATTCCCTTTCAAAGCCATTCTGTGTACAAAAATCCAGAAATGTTTTAAAAGAGAAACAATAGTGGCTTTCTATTACACCAGTTTCAATTTAGGGTGGGGGAAAACAGAGTTGGAAACAAAACCTGTTAAAATGAAACATCAAAATCTTGTGATTCCCAACAAGTGACATTCAGAGGCATACTGCCTCCAATAGCAGAGGGAAAATGTAGACATTACAGCTATGTCTTTTTAAGCATGGATTCAACAAGTTTCCCCAATAAGGGCATTTTATTTAATTTTTCCGGTTCTTCAATGCCTGGGAAGGACTGATAAATGTGTAAATGCAAACAGCGTCCTTCTTTTTGCACAACGATATCTAGTTTCAGGAAGCGGGTGTTTATGGAAAGTAAAATGCATTATAAAATTCAGTAAATGTAAGTGTGGCTTTTTCTACTCTGGTATGAGACTCATTTCAACATCTTTTTCTTTGGCCTAATTTTTTTTATAGTTATTGAAATTGTCATAAACATTCCTGGCCATCATTCAAGAAAACGTAATGGAAATCTGCCTGGCATAAAAGTTTTGGGCAGCTGATTTCTCCTTTGAATATCGCTCTGTGTTCCAGTTTATGTCCAGTTTACTGAATAATTAGCTGAGGGTGGGGAACTGGCCAACAATGCAATAGCACCACAGCTATTGCTTAAAGTAAGTCTTTGGATCCTTTCTAATTTATTAAGGAAAATATGTACACAGGGACAGAGGCATAGGACAGAGACGGTGGGGGCGGTCTGCCCTGGGTGTCATGACTGAGGGGGGTGACAAAATGGCAGGCAAGTGGGCGGCACACCTCGTGTCCGGCGGCAACAGCTCTTCTGACCCAGCGGCAGAGAGCAGCCCTCAGCTGTGGCGAGGTTCACACAGCCACAGCAGCTCCATTCTCCTGCGGAAAGCAGGAGAAGAGTGAGCAGCAGCTTCCCTGCCCCTCTCCTACCCTGAACTGTGGGTCATGGGAGGGCACCCTCCACGCCCCTCGCCCCTTGGGAGCGCACCCTTCCTGCGAGGGGGGGCATATGCTCTGCCGCTGCACAGGAATTTGGGTGAGTTGTTTTGTGTTATTATGGCCCATATACTGCTATCGCTTTTGCCGATGTGATTCTCGAAGTTGTTGCTTTGTTGGTGCACTGATGGTTGCATTTTTTCTTTTGACTCTGTGGAAGGAATTTAGCATAGCGCCTAAGGAGATCACTCCATCTGTGCAAACATTTTTGACTTCCCGTCTCCTCCTCTTTCTGCATTCTGTTCTGGGGATACTCCCAAGCCCCTGAGACAATTTTAGGGGGCAAGCGGGCACACAAGGTAGGAGAGTAGGGAGGGGAAAGCCTTGTTGCGCTAGCAGAGATCCTGACATGAAGTGCTGCTGCAACAGGTCTTTGTAGACAATACTGAGCTATATGGACCAAGGAACTGACTCAGTATAGACTCATAGAATTGTAGAGTTGGAAGGGACTCCAAGGGTCATCTAGTCCAACTCCCTGCATCTTTTGCCCAATGTGGGTAGGACTACTCAAGCATTCCTGTTCTTGCCCTACCTTCTGGCTGTGTGATAATCAGGTGAGGAAAAACTGCATGATCAGTCTCACCTATGCAGTGCTAGCCTTTCAGTACGGTTGTACCTCTACTTACGTATCCCTCTGGATACAGAATCTTTGGGTTATGGCCACGGCAAACCAGGAAGTGTATACTCCCATGTTTTGCCGCGTGCGCATGCGCAGAAGTGCCCTGTGCCCCTTGTGCATGCACAGAAGTGCTCAATTGCACCACGCAAGTGCACAGAAGCACTCAGTCGCACCATGTGCATGCGCAGAGGCGCACCTCTATTTACATAATTTTCAGGGTGTGAATGGACCCCCGGAATGAATTAAGTTCATATCCAGAGGGTCCACTGTACTAGTCAAATAGGCAGGGGTACATATGAAATACACAAGAGCTGACTGAAATCCATACAGGGGCTCTTGATAGTTGGATGTATTATTTTCATGGAACCATTTTATAAACTGCATTCTTTAATAAGAGACTTCTCCTGTTCTTTGCTCGATCTACTATCTACCCAGTACTATGTTTTACAGAGAGAAAATATTGTGTATGTGTGTTACATTTTTATATGTTTGGAGTTAACAGCAGAAGGTTATGGAAGTAATTTCAGAGGGTTCTCCCCCACCCCCGCCACCCGAACTGTGTGGCTCTTTTCATATGTAATTATTCTCAGAGCACATTAGATAATGCTGCTGTTCCCACAGCTGTATACACATCTATAAATCATTAATGAGGCAGTTAACTGAAAGAAAACTATAAAAGATTTGCATTACCCAGCAGAACCCAGCCTTAATTGACTTCCAGTTATTTACAATTAATTTTTCCATTTGGAATAATAACACGTAACTTTCTTTTTCTTTTAAAAATTATTTTAATGGTTTAGGAATAAGATGCTGACTTCTCATCAAAAGTTTATACATTAAGGTCCCTGCTGACATGCAGATGCTAGTTTTCTGCTTGTGCACAAAGGGCACATGCAAAAGCATTGTTTGCAAATAACAACACATGCCTTTGTTTCAGTTTATACATTACCATAGAACAGGTGTGAATAACCTTTGGCCCTCCATATATTGCTGAACTACAGCTCCCATTATCTCTGGTCATTGGCCATGCTTGATGAGGCTGACGGGAGTTGTACTTCAGCAACATCTGGATGGCCAAAGGTTCTTCACACCTGCTGTAGGACCTTCATGTGATGGAGCAGAAGAGTAGCTTGTTCCATCCACATAGATGATGTTGATTTTCTGAACTGGGGTTTCATTATTCAAATTCCCAACCATGCAAAGGCCCCATTTGCAAGATTGGTGTCCTTCAAAAGTTTTTTTTTGGGGGGGGGGAATTGCATGATTCATAGTTTTAATAATCTACATTAGGTATGGGGGAAATCTGTGGCTCTACAGATGTTGTTGTGTACCAACTCTCTTCAGCCAGCATGGTCAAGGTCAGGGCTGATAGGAATTGTCCTGCAACAAACAGATCTGGGGACAGCCCTAATCTACACAAAGGAGGATAGGCAGGGCACACTGTTTCCTCCACAACACACTATGGCCCCAATCCAGCTGTATCCCCCCCCACATTTTTGATGGGGTCTTTCCCAGTCCTTCCAGATGCCAGCAATTGAAACTGGGCACTTCAGCATGCTGCAACACATGTGCTCTGGCATTGAGCCACAGCCTTTCCACAAATGGAAAAGGAACATGGGAAGTGTCCTTATTCCAACGGAGTGGATCTGCCTAACTTAGTATTGTTTACATTGACTGGCAGTAGTATTCTAAGAGTTTCCAGCCAGTCTCCTCTCCAGCATTGCCAGGAGACGCCTGCAATGGAACATGGGACATGCAAGGCACGCAGTACCCCACTGAACTCTGCCCCTGCCCCTATGTGAATTCATATCCTCAACCTAATCTAAAGGGCGTATCAAATAAGTTCACTGCAGCTCAGAGGAAACAAAATGATCCAAGAGAAAGCACTCTCCCATAGAAGAGCTTTTCTGTTCTTTTAGTTTAGTTTTGGGGGTGGGGAATGAAGGGAGAGGATGGTGAAATTTTGCATGCTATGAAGGAAGTGAATGGTTTCCTCAAAAACACTGAGCACACTGGGGTGTTAGGGGATGAGTAGTACCTCTGGTGGGGTACACATCATGCTCCTTCTGGGGTAGTTTGTCCATCTTTGGTTCCCACCCAGCACTCAGCTCTCACCAGTGGCTCCTAGCAGCTGTCAGCATGTGACAGTGGCCACACCCTGGGAACAGCTTTGAGTGGCTGGCTGGACCAATAAAGGTAGCTGATGGGTCCCAAACCCTCAGTGAGTTAGGTACTTCATCTGCATGCAAAGACAGGCTCTGGTGGATTGAGATGAGACCAATAGTGGGTCCAATGGTCGAGAAGACGGTTTCTGCATGTGCTGTAGAAGTGAGGGGCAGACAGGGCTCATCAACCTGGGAAAGTAGCCCATCTAGAAGATAGAAAACTGTGCGCCTTGTGTGCCCCCTCCTGTCACCTTCCTGCAGCCAAGATGGTGCCAAACGTATTGCTCTGCTTTCCTTTGGACCACACTAGAGAGGCCAAGAGGGGGTCTTGCCGCCTGGGCAGCCCAGGACCTCTATGCACACTGCCCAGGCTTGGGCCCTAGGGAGGACACTTCAGTGCTGCAGATGCCACAGTCAGAATTCACCCCTGAAGGTGCCGTCCATTGTCTCTCAAGACAGACAAATGCCATCAAGAGCAGGAGATTCAAAACCAGTGGAAAAGGAAGCCATTGACTCAGAGATTGGACAAATGGAGGAGGTGGTAGAAAGGCTTATCAGTGGCTGTTAGGCATGTCCGTTAAATGAATGGGATTGCCCGATTAAGGCAGAGGCAGTATGCTACTGAACACCTGCTGATGGAGGGCAATGAATGGGAGAAAACTTCTGCCTTCAGGTTGTGCTTGTGGACTTCCCAGAGGCCACTCAGGCCCCAAATATCTGAAAGACCGCTTGCTGCCCCACAGACTCCCTCACATGTTAACAGAGGGGGCCCTCTTAGGAGTTCCAAAAAGTTTGGGGGAAGTGGCGCAGGACAGGGCATTCTCTGTCACAGCTCCTAGGTAATGGTATTCCCTCATTACAAAGGTGCTTCTGGCAACTTCATTATACAGTTTCATCGCATAATGAAGATCCACCTCTTTGCCCTGGTCTTTACCACCTCAGATGTTTTTTGGAGACCCACCCTATTCCCGTGGCTGTGATTTGTTTCAACATTGAGTTGTGTATCACCATTCTGGGACCTGCTGGTGAAAGGCTTGAAATAAACTTGATCACCATTCTCATCCGGTTAAATACTGTGTGAAGCAAGACCCTGGAAAAGATAGGCTGGTGGCTTCATCCATCAGAGGTATTATGTTCCTTGTTCTTACTCATGAAGCAGATATGAACACTGATAAGTGTTGTCTTGTGGACATTTCTCTTGTTGGTCTTGAGAAGTGTGTGTGTGATTAAATAATGTTAAAAATTCATAATCTGGAACCCCATGTGTGCTCTCAACCAAAACTGAAGCCCAAGAGCTAAGGAAAGAAAATAGAAGCAAGAGGGAGGCAAACTATCAGAGGCAGTATATTTCTGAATACAGTTGCTGGAGTGGAGAAAACTGTTGCACAGGTCCTGCTTGCAGGCATCAGGTTGGCCAGTGTAAGGACAGGACGTTAGACCTTTGGCTTGATCCAGTAGGACTCTTCCTATGCTCTCATATAAGGGATAAAAAATGAAGGAGGAGGAAAGGGAGGGAGGCAGTGGAAAGAGGGACAACTAAGAGAGACATGGAGTGGCAAGAGTAGTGGAGGCTGGTTCATTAGCAGAAGTGGGGAACTGCCCCACCAGCTTTAACAAGATTGCAACTGCTTGCTTCTTACAGCCAGACCAGGAGCTCCTGTTTGTCTATTTCTTCCTCCTTAGTCTTAGTGTTTTCCTTGTAGAACTCAGCAGGGAGCAGAATGGGTGCAAAACTGGAATTAGTTGGCTCTGACTCCACTTAGAGTTGGTCTCTCTTCATTCTGCCCCATCAGTCCCAATGGGCACGCACACACACATGTAAAGAAGACAGAAGCCAACACTCTTAAATAGAAGAAATAACTCAATTATACATTGCATCTCGTCTTCCCTCTGAAGAACCTAGGGCTGTGAATCCATTTTAGCCTCGCAGGTTGCAAATTTGATATTCACAACTAGTCGGTGAGGTAGAGGAGGCTGGTAAAGCATGCCTGGCTCAAGGTTAACCAATAAATATCATGGTTGAATGGATATTTGAACTCTGATTTCCCCAGCAGCTGAAGCTTGACTGTCTGTCCATTATGCCACACTTGCTCTGTCAATCAGTTCTGACAAAGTTGTTATTGGTGAAATGCTATAAAAGTTAGGAACAAAACCTTGGGCACCTATTGTTTCGAAGGAGCTCATGCATACACCTCTCAACATGGATGGTGAACATGGTCTATGTCATGCATTGTTTGAAACTTTTCCCTTCCCTAAACCTCATTTGCCTGTGCCTGACATTTAAAATTATTATTGGCAATTGTGCTTGCCAAGCTAGTATCAACATAGACCAGTCTTTGAGTGGGAAAAGGATGCTATGATCACTTTCCTGAAGTTGCTTCAAAGGATAAATTAAGTTATATGCTATAGTTTATTCTAATCCCCCCCCCACAAAAAACACAAAAGAAGCTACGCTGTATCAAACTAAAGCGCAACAGAGAACTCAGAATCCTGTTCTCAATTTGAGCATCCAGATGCGCATCAGAAGTCTGCATGTAGGATGTGAACGATGTCAGTATTCAAAAAGAGTAAATATGAATCCGCTTTAATAAGTAAATACTCAGATAATTCAAGATCGCAATCAGTATATACCATGATGACTACTCTTGATGAAGTGGTAGAGGACCTTCTAGGTATGCTGCTTTTATTATCTGTATTTTAATAGATTTGCTTTTGTATTGCTTTAATTTTATTACAGTTTAATGACTTTTAAACTATTATAACGTAAATGTTTTTAGCTTTCTGTATTTTATCTGTGTTGTTTTAACCGTGAGTCCCAGGGTCTGGGTAAAAAGGCAGGATATAAATGTAACAGTAACAGCAGCAGCAGGATCCAGAAAGCCATGAATGCTATAGAAGCTATGGTACTTCAGATGTTGCTGAACTCCCTACTCCCATCATCCCTGAAATCAGTGTTAAGAAATTGAGATATAAAAGCTAGGAGCTAAATGGCACCCTAATCCTAGGTTATGGGTGCAATAATGGAATGTATAGGTGCACTTTTTTAATAACCAGAATGCAAAGCTGAAAATGAATGAACTGCAGCTAAAATAATATGTTCTTTTTTCACATAGTCTAGTCCTTCCCCTGCCCACCCCCCTAATATTATTCAGAGAGTCTTCAGAGAGTCGCTGGAAGTGGGGAGGCAGAAAAAGCTCCTCCTTTCCTTCCACTCTGCAGTCTGAAATCTTCAGCACAGTACTGCGCCCAGAGCTCAGAAAATGCTTGCGCTAATGAAATTCTGTCGCAAAACACGCCTAGAACAATGGGAGTTTTGAACACTGCCTGAAATGAGAGTTAAAATTGCTGATGCTTGCTTTTTCATACGATGTCCAGAATGAAAATCAATCCAGAAAATGTGATCAGTATCCACTGCTGCTCTTGTTTTCATTCCAAAAATAATACAAATGCTATGTGACTGATGACTTCCCCTGTCTCCCACCAGCTGCATTGTGTTTTCTTTGCATTGAAATGAATGGTGTCAGATACTGCAATCACCGTATTTTTCGCTCTATAAGACGCACCAGACCACAAGGCGCACCTAGTTTTTGGAGGAGGAAAACAAGAAAAAAAATATTCTGAATCCCTCTTGCTGTTCTGGCTTCTGTGATAGCTGCACAGCCTGCATTCGCTCCATAAGACGCACACACATTTCCCCTTTTTAGGAGGGAAAAAGTGAGTCTTATAGAGCAAAAAATACGGTAATCCCTTAAATAACTATGTGAACTTTTGCTGTGGCAGACAGCAAGAAAGTAACATTTTTGACAGAAACTGAATTGCAGCAGACTAGAAACAATGCTGCAATGAATATGGGCAGAATGAAAATCAATGCTTTCTTACATCCTTACCAAACACACACACACACACACACACACACACATACGCAAGCAAGCAAGCAAGCAAGCAAGCAAACAAACAAACAAACAAACAAACAAACACTGTTATGGCTTCTTCTCCCTTTTGGCATTTCCTTTCTCCAACACTTTAAAAAAAAATTCAATCAATTTCCAAAGTCAAACAAAATGTTTTTAATACTGCTGTTTTTAGCAAGAACATTTTAACAAAGAATGTGTACTTTTAACTTAATATTGTACAACAGAGAAACTATACTTTAAATTTTCTATTGTCTAATATTCTACTATATAGTCATCCTCCCCTCCCCCCATTCTTCTTGAAAGACCAAAAGCCAAGCGGAACTGAGAATAATAATAAGAATAATGTAAGAATAATAATAATGATGATGATGCTGCATCAATTTATAATCCCCTTATTACATCAGCTATTGTGGGTTATGTTCACACCCTCTCAGATTGCTCATCTAAGGAAAGGACAATTTTTACATCGTTATCGTAATAAAAAATGTACATACTTTTATCTTCGAAATGTATTATATATTGAGTTTCAGCTTCAGTAAACAAAGCTTAAATTTATAAACACAATTGAAACGGCTCTATGTTGAGCAGTTTCAGTGCTAACACTGGACCTGTAGGACATACAGCCAGTGAAAACCTTTGCGGCTTGTTTAATTCATTGTGCCATTGCTATACTGTAATAGCTAACTCCTTGTGGGGGGGTGGGAAGTTAGTTATTTTGGGGAATCATTCTTGTGTGTGCTTAAGAGTTCTAGTATAACTTTTACCCCCTCCCTCTCTATCCTCTGGGGCCTAAAATGAATTGCTACAACAGGTTTGGTATAGTACAGAAAGCTTGAAAGAAGTCATAATATTTCTCAATGACATTTTGGCAGTTTTCAACACAGGAACAGTAAATTGCTTCACACTGTCCACATTTCAATGCTACCAATCCTGTCCTTCGCAGAACACTGAAGGCATCAAAGGTTAGAAGGGACTTCTTTCATGAGTTATATAGTCTTCAAATAGTGATCATTATATTTTCCCCATCCCACCCCTTCATTTTTACTGTCTTCAGTACATAATGGTAGGTTTGATGTATGCTCTGTTTTCTGGAAGAAAAAAAGAAGAACACAGCATGGTAATTACATAAATCTAATATTTGCACTTTTGAAAAGGCTGAGTTAAAATCAATATTTATGAATCACACACGTTTCAAATCTGCAAATGCAGGAATATCCTGATTGGCTAGAGTAAAAGTAAGACTTTGAGTACAGCAAGAAGTGAGACATGTACCATGGCAATTCCTTCTGAGTAAATATACAAACAGTATTTGTAAGGCTCTGTACAGATGGACACAGATGGTGAGCCTGTTGTGGATCCGCCTTCACTTTGCTTGGGTTAGACATACAACCTTCCTAAAAGAACTGAGCTCAGGAACAACCAATTCCTTCCTGATTCTGGCTGTGCAAAGTGCTGATTGGCTGGCCCTTGTGGAAGTTATGAACTCACTTCCCCTCCTCTGCATGGATCAATATACTAGTAATAGTAGTGATGATGGCGATGATGATGATGACAGAAAACAACGGACCAGCTTAAAAACATACCTAGGTGCAAAAATAAACATTTAACCTGCTAAACATATCCTTCACATCCATTTTTTACAGGCAAAGTGTAGCCATATTGGGGGGGGGGGGGTAACCTGTACTGGATTCAGAGTCAGGTATGCATGTCATTAGAGGAGCAAAAATGAATGGAAGCAGAATTCGCTCTGCAGCAGAAAAGCCTTCATTGGTTCCTGACTTTATACATCTGTCTTTATGGGTTAGGCAAAATCACTAAGGGCTGAACTAGACAAATAATGCAGAACATTAAAAAAGAATCTCTAGTAGTAGTAGTAGTAGTAGTAGTAGTAATTTATAATAATTTATAATAATAATTTATTATTTATACTGCGCCCATCTGGCTGGGTTTCCCCCCAGTAAGACTCTAGATCCTTTCTAAGTTAATAAAAACAAAACTTTGCTAAATCCAAGGTGCTAGATAGTTCTGGTGGGAGGTCATGCACTTAAGATTCCATTCAAGACTTCAAGACCTCATCCAGCAAACTAGGAATCACCGACTAGTTTATGACCAATTAGATTTGTTTTTTATTTTTGCTTTTTTAAAGGCTTAACATTTTCTTTTCTGCTTAAAAGTATGACAATAAGCAACAAGTTTAAGTCAGACCTTGATGGTGGGGGGGGGTGGAGAGACTTGGGATAGGAGCCATACCTGGAAATATCTGCCTTTCCAGAGAGCCCAGGGAACCAGCACTGCCAGCATCTGCCCTGTTCTCTTTTGAGGCGCCTCCTCTTCAGAACCCTTCTCGGTGTGGGAGGGCACCCTACTACTACCACCTGTCAGAGACCGTGCTGAGGAGGGCTGCACAGAGGAGGAATGGTGGGAGCCTCCCCTCCCCCTGCTCCTGAGCTGGATCCTGAATCTTCCCAGGAGCAGGAGGACGGTATAGATTTGGAACAGTGGTTTGCAGAGGGGCATAGTTCAGAAGGCAGAAGCTGGGAAATACTGGATGGGGAACAGGTAGGAGAAGAAACACTGGGAGAGAGAGGGTTAACAGATTCACTGTCTCTGGAAAGCATTCCTCCGCTCTCCCCAAGGTCAAGAAGAGCTGAGAAAGTGGCAGAACAGAAAGCACACAAAGCAAGTACAAGCTCAGATTTCAAGACGTAGAAGTGACGTGGATGAATAGGGATGTAGGGGGTGAGATTCTTAATTGGGAGCAGCACCATTCCTAGGAGAAGGGTTCTTTATTATCTTGCTGTGATCATTAAAGTTTATAACTGGTAAAAAAACTCCCTTTTCCTTTGTTCTGCTTATCTACTGCCACGGGAGTGGGGTTGATTCCCTGAAGCCTGACTCCACCAGACAGGACCTCCCTCCCTACCCCACCAAAGCCAATGCCTGAGAAACAGAGTACAAGCTCTTTCAGTTGCAAGCTTCCTCAGAGCGGGTGGAGCAACCTCTTTGGTGCAGGACTATAAAAATCCAGTTGACTTTGGAGTATTGCTGCAGCAACATCCTAACTTGCTGCTTTTAATGCCTTTACAGCCAGTCCATGACACCCAATCCACGCAAGAGCTGATCGTGGTCCTGGTCTCCTGCAGCTGGCCTGCCCTTTAGCCAGGCCTTGCCAGTACCAATGTGAGGTCCTAGATGGCAACAGCTTAATTTATTTTGTTTTTGCATATATTCTTGAATAAAACCTGGAATACGAAATTGAGAGACCTAAAAAGGTGTTGAGTGAATCAAGTGAATACTTCCATTAGTCTACAAAGTGAATTAAGCTCATCACATGCCCAATCCACCTGCAAGAGGGCATATTTTAAAACATAAAAGACTGCATTACAAATCAGCATGGTTAGTAAATCAATATCTCTCCTGGGATTGGGAGGAGAAGCCACTTCTATCACCTTTGTTTTCTGCATTCCTCTTTATCTGGAAAAGCAAACAGACACCAAGCTCTTTTCTTAATGATAAGAAATATGCTGTTTTAAGTTCAGGCAGTGGTGGTGGGGGTAGGGGGGGAGTCTACGGAGAGCCAAAAGGAATGCAAATCTATATTCCTATTAGTCTTAGAATGCATTTAAAGTCCAAACAGCTGCACCAGCAACTACTGCTTTTGGAGGCTGTAGGAAAATGATCAACCCAACCGGCATGTGTATAATGTTGACATATCTCCCATTACTGTTTTACATATGCCAATACCAAATCTTCATAAGGAAAGAACCTGTATTGACCGGCTAACCGACACAGATCCTTGGAGCAATCACCAAGTTTTGCTACATTTCAATTTTGAAATGCATTTCAGCTATAATATGAGTGATTTATCATTTAACGGGAGCTGTCAAAGTAAACTCCTAGATAAAACAAAAACATCTGGAACTATAAACAGCCAAGTGCAGGAGCTGAATTTTAATCCACATCCAGCATGTTCACTCTATTACAAACAGGAAACAGCTAATTAGTAATTGAATGTTTCATGTTTTTAAGAGGGCTTGTGCTTTCCAAACAGTGATGATCTAATATGGAGCTTGGACATAAACATGAATAAATACCAGGGACAAATGATTGCCAGAGGAATGTCCAGGAGCCTGGGAACCTCAAAAAGGATGCCAGGAGAACTGGACCGTGGAGGTCTTTATAGTGGCGCAACATTACTGCCATGAGATCCACAGGGGCTTGGGCAAAGAGTAAACAACATTTCACATAAGTGAAGAGTGCTCCTTTCCATGAGTCACAGGGCCCAGAATGGAGTCTAACAGCCATGGGGCAAGGTCACTTATGGTGGACAATGGTAGGTCAAGGGTATGGCCTGTATAAAGTATATAGAAAGCAGATTTTACAGAAAAATAATGAACAGATGATGGTAGGCAGATAATGGATATGTTCAGATATCATGACAGACCATGGTTTATTGCTCTGGGAATGAGCCTATTCTCTGTTAATCTGGGCCCTGCTAGGCATGAGGGCACAAGCCATTTCAGCAAGCTTCACCCAACAGCAGAGTAGCCATGATGGATCAAAATGGATGACAAGGATGGGAAAGTTCAACTCTGGTCCACTCTGCGAAGGCTGCTTGGAACTGTTAGCCAGCTCTCTCAGTGACAGTCATGTGAGACCTTGGCATCTTGGAAAAGCACAATGTTAGCACAATAAGATGCTAAAGAGCACAAAAAAGAAAAGAATAATCTAACAGCGCTTCCAAACATTATTGAAAATAGAGTTGGGATGAGTTGGATAGACCATGATCTTAATTAAGCAATGCTGGACAAGAATGGAGCCCAGATACACTTTCCCCTAGTTAGATTATGGACATTCAAGGTCTACAACTCACGTAGCTTGCCTACGCAAGCCAAATAATGATGGAAAAGATGGGAAATTATGTTCCATTTCCTGATCAATGCTGCATGAGAAACTACTTTATCCCTTATATACCCAGTAGGTCACTGCAGTCTGTGGGAGAAGTTCTCCTTCAAGTCCCAAGTGCACCAGAAGCCGGATCCACAGTAACTCAGAGCAGGGCTTTCACTGTGGCTGCCCCTGTTATGTGGAACAGCATTCCTGTTGAGATATGACAGGCAACCACTATCTGCATTTTCCAGAAACAATTGAAGACAGTTTTGTTCCAACAAGGTTTCTCACCAGATGAATAGGTCTCTGCCATGGGGGGTCTACTTGATATTAATTATTAAAACAATTGTTTTTAAAGCTGTTTTAATTGCATAGAATCATAGGACTGTAGTGTTGGAAGGACCCCAGAGAGGCATCTAGTCCAACACCCTGAAATGCAGGAATCTCAATTAAAGCATCCGTGACAGATGGCCATCCAACCTCTGCTTAAAAACCTCCAAGGAAGGAAAGCCCACCACTTCTTGTGGGAGGCTGTTGTTCCTGATGTTTAGTTGGAATCTACTTTCTTGTAACTTGAATCCTCTGGAGCAGGAGAAACAAACTTGCTCCATCCTCCTCCACATGGCAACCCATTAGATATTTGGAAATGGCTATCATGTCTCCTCTTAGTCTCCTCTTAACCAGGCTAAACATATGCAATTCCCTAAACTGTTCCTCATGTTTGGTTTCCAGACCCTTGAACATCTTGGCTGCCCTCCTCTACAGACACTTCAGCTTGTCAACATCCTTATTAAATTTTGGTGTTCACAGTATTCCAAGGCAGAATTTCTATCTTCCATACCTTATCCTCATTTCTGTGTTTCTCAGCATACCTAGCATTTGGGAATAAAGTTCATTGTTGCCCAGGCAGAGCTGAGAGGAAGCACTTAATGAAGAGCTGAATAGGTAGCAACAATGAAAGAAGGAAATGATTCTCTGCACATCATTATTACTGATGTTATTATTAACAATATATTATAAATTGCTTTCCATACACATGTCTCAAAGTGATGTAAAAACCCCCCCAGTTAATGCTATTCTATGCTGCATCAACAGAAGTATAGTGGCCAGATCAAGGGAAGTAATAGTCCCACTCTATTCTGTCTGATAACTAGGTGGGTTGAAGGATGATAGGAGGCGAAATCTTCAGTTAAGAGTCGGAAATAGCAAGCTTAAGATGCTCATTCAAATGACTCTGATTGCTTTGTCAATGTAATTATAATGCTATTATGCCATTCTCAACCCGTATTATTTTCTAAGTACCATATTGCTATCTTTCATTGCTTTATGTTGCCAAGTTCCGTTTCAAGTTCAGAGTATCATTATCTTCCATATGAAGGTAATAATATGCTTTGAACGGAGCACTGCATGTCAATAAACTGATGGATTTGTTTCAGTTATAATCTTGAGTCTGTGGTATTTATCACTGGATATGCACCATTCCCTAATTCTCTGGTTTGCCAATGTGCAACTTTGAACTCTGATCAGATCACCAAATTAGCAGCCCCCTGACCCAGTTTGTTAGGAAGTTTGGAAACTTTTGCTTCTAGTTTCATTTAACCACAGTTCAGCAGTACATTGCAAGCCCAAATTGTGATTAATCTATGGTTTGTTGAAACCACAGTTTGAAGCAAATCATAGTTAAGATCATTTGTCAGGTTTGGATAATACAGCAAGCCATATTAACGGAAAACAGAAACAAAAGCTTCCAAATGTCTCCTTGTAGCCACACCAGCTAAGATCATTCCATTATGACAAACCATTGTTTATTGTGATGTCTAGATGCAGCCAGTCAGTGTTATGTAGTAACAATTTCACATTAGCTGATATTAAGTATACAGGTTTTGTGTCACTATTACCACTATTTACCACTGCCTTGCTTGCAGAACACGGATGACGCATATCTGTGAGCAGCCCATAGAACATACAGTGGTACCTCGGGTTAAGAACTTAATTCTTTCCAGAGGTCCATTCTTAACCTGAAACTGTTCTTAACCTGAGGTACCACTTTAGCTAATGGGGCCTCCCGCCGCCGCCATGCCACCTCTGCACGATTTCTGTTCTCATCCTGAAGCAAAATTCTTAACCTGAGGTACTATTTCTGGGTTAGCAGAGTCTGTAACCTGAAGCGTCTGTAACTCGAGGTACCACTGTACATTATTAGGTGACAATGCAAATGTAAAAGATGTTGATGATAATCAATGTCACTGTGTAGGGAAAGAATGATTGAGGGAGTTGGGTTTGTTTAGCCTGGATAAGAGGAGACTGAGAGAATATATGACAGCCATCTTCAAAGATCTAAAGGGCTGTCACATGGAGTAAGCTTGTTTTATTCTGCTATGAAAGGTAGGATCTGAACCAATGGATTCAAGTTTCAAGAGATTCTGACTAAATGCCAGTAAGAACATTCTGATGGTAAGAGTTGTTCAACCGTGGAACGGACTCCCTTGGGTGGTAGACTCTCCTTCATTGGAGGTTTTTAAGTGGGGTTGGATGGCCATCCATCAGGGATGCTTTAGCTGTGATTCCTGCATTGCAAGGGGGTTGGACTAGATGACCTTTGGGATCCCTTCCAACTCTACAATTCTGTGTTACTATGATTGTATGCCTTTTCATCAGGCAAATATTTTTCTTTACTTTCCCTGGGCTTTTATAACTTGAGGAGTTTTACTCCATTTGATTTTATTGCTCTTTTTGTCCTACTTATTTAATTGTGGTGAGTTTTATTGGGGCTTGTATTTTTATTGATATGAGTTTTTTGTTGTTGTTAAACCACCATGGGAGTTATTGCATTTAAGAGTTGCATAGGTGTTGACTTTGAGATACAGATGGATGTTCAATCTGAGACTCACACATTCAAGAAGTACCTTGACACTGCACTCATTCAATAGGGTGCATGTGGGAACCAGTCCTATGATATTATGCCTACTACCTTATTTCCCACTTCTTTCCCTTTCCCAAATCCACCAAAATCTTTTTCATTGTTCAAGCTTTGTGCAAACTGGTTGAATAAGAAAAGAAGCTAAGGTCAAAAATTCATCCTGTATGGAATGTTCAGGACCTATTGATGTTTCCATTTTATAGCATTTTTTACTGTATTACATAGTGAAGATTTTAAATAAATCTTTGGGCCATAAACGTATTATTTTATTAGGTTTATCCCATAATCAAATATTCATTTATGTGGGCTTCATTCTATTAAAAAATGAAATTAGACAAAGGTGAGCCAAACTGTGGATTTACAGTAGTTTAAAGCATAATTTAATTCTCTAGGGATAATATTGACAATATAAAAAGGGTATAAATGATATTCCCTAACACTAAAATATGCTTATGAGCCCCCAGTGCATGATAGGCTGTTTTACAACCTACCGTGAAATGCATGACTGCCTTAATAAGCAAGACATTTAGAAAGGGTTTTCAGACCCAGTACATTGTGTAACATGAATAAAGATCTCACAATTTTGCCTGTGAGCCAAATCCTATGTTAATGATGGTAATTTCCCCTTTGGATGATATTTTCTTTCCTAACAGGGTTGTTATTTCATAGTATAGATGTCTCCCTCTGTTCTATATTTGGTATCATGGAAGAAAAGGGGGGGAAACTCAGTAATTTTGGAGGTGGGACTCTTCATAGCAATCTAGGAGGCTGTCTTATACCGAGTCAGAGGACTGGTCCAGTAGCTCACTACCATCCACACTGACTGGCAGCAGCTCTCTAGGGCTGCAGGCAGGGTTTGTTCCTCAGCCTTACCTGCAGGTGCCAGGGACTGAACCTGGCACCTTCTGTGGGCAAAGTAGGTGCTCTTACCACTGTGCTGCCGCATTCCCCTTAATTCTCAGTGCCTGCTCATGAGAGCACAGTAATTGGCTCATTTGATGTTGCCCAATCAAATTGCTGGCATTGTGGGCACATGCACACAACAGATTTTTACATTTAGTTTCTAATTTTGTGAATCTTGCCCCAAAGCACAGCTTCTATAGGCCAGTTCTTATGCTCTCTAGGGACTTGAAAACTTCAGAGTGTAAGTGGCAGGACTGCATGTTTGAATACACTGCTGTGTGTTCAAATCTCTCCCTACATGTAGAGTTTTGGCGATTAAATGGCAAGCAAGCAAATAAATAAATAAATGCTAGGGAGAAAAGCTCTGCTCTTGTCCTTGATAGTCCTCAGCGAGGACCAATAAAAACTGTCCAATGAGCAAACTATAATGCTAGACTGTACCATTTCTGAAGGAGGGGGTCCCACATGTTTGATTTGTTCCCCTTTACTTAGGTCATACAGTAATTTAGTGAGAAGGGGGTTTAGCAAAGCATACTAGCCGATTGGTGCTCTAACTCTATTCCAGATTACATACAGTAAAAACTGGAGCTCTCAAACTTCAGTCTCATCTTCACCCTTTTCAAGATGTACAAAATGTTCCCCCTTCCAGTGATTCTTCAGGATGGGGTGGGAACAGAGACAAATAGTTTGCCAGTTCTGTTTCTGCCACTGGCAACACTGGTGGTACCCCATGTTGATGAGAGGCACCCATTATTTCTTTTAGCTGCATAATGCAACATGAGAGCAAGAGCAAGAAAGCAATGCCCTCACTCTGATTTGGTTTCATGATGAGCCAACAAAGCCAATTCAGAGTGAGGACAATAAAATGGTTTTGTGATGATATCATGAAGCCAA